TACATCTTGGATGCCCTGGGGGTAAGCAGATAAAATAAAATTTTGGGGTGAACTATCCCTTTAAACCACATTTTTCCTTTTTTTAAAGAAAGGGAGAACAAATCAAAATGAATTTTGGTAGGAATCAACATTACGCCACAAATGCTGTCGATTAAGTTTAACTTGAATATTATTTTAACTCCACTCCACAACAATACTCAATATATATTACATGCATAACAATAACAACGTTTAACAACAAAGACAGCATGCAATAAAAAATCTCAAACATCAGACTTTAAATGATGAACTCGGTTTCAACCTGAAAGACCTCCAGTGAAAATACAACCATCTCACCTTTTCTGTATTTACATACTTTGGATTGAACTGAGGAAATTCCTCCTATTCAGGCAGAGAATTGTTATGTAATGCTCTGTGGTGCTGTAAATAACATTTACTCTTTAAAGATGCTTTCATCCGAAGCGACTTACAAATAACCTAGATATGATATGATGTCATATATCCTCAGGTGCATGGCATCCTGAACCTATTCCAAAATTTTTATATTAATAAATACAATAGTTGTTCCGGCACCAAAAGTGTTACTCTCACAAAAAGGCTCAAGTTTCCTTTGAACTGCGAACTGTTTAGCTCACAGAAAATTTGTTCCAGGTGTTCATGTCAATATAGTTTTTCTGCAGTCTTGTTGTGCGCTGTTTGACATGAGTGATCATACAGCTTTGAGATGTTTGAATCATCTCATTTAAATGTTAGATTTACCTCAAAGAGCAGCTAGGCTGAATTTCGTCATGTGCTCTTTGACATATTACCGTTGATTCTGTCCTGTTTCTTTGTTTGTATGTCAAGCCAACTGAAAACTTGCCTGTCCACTGCATTTTAAATTCATTTTTCAGTCAGGACACAAACCAGGAGACAAACAACTGTCAAAATCGATCATACTGTGTATATTCCAATGGAAAAATGGAAAGAAAAAACAAGCTTTCACAGGTCACTCAAGATCAAGGCTCTCTCTCTTTTTTTAATAGACATGAATGATATGAAGTGAATTTGTCACAGACTCGCAGATAAGAACTGAAAGAGGGTTAAGAAGGGTTAATAAAAATGAAACAGCTTTTCACGTTAAAATTATTCATTTGGAACAATGCTCCCTTGAATATTCAAAAAGTCCTTGGCTTTGCTTTTATAAATCGGTCTTAGATAAAGTGCAATTTCTGTTTTTTTTTTTTTTTTACAACCCTAATTTGCAGAGTGTGCCAAGGACATATAACTGACTGAACCGTGATAGCCTACTCAAACAGATACAGAATATGACATGAATGCTGACACAAAATGTCCTAGCAGATGTTAATATAAAGCACAAGCAACACCCATCAGTTCAAAAGAAAAGCAGGGCCAACAAAGCAAATCATATACAAACAATACCAAAGCAAGCATTTAGTGCATTATTGCCAGTCTTTTGATTTCTCACATACATAATTCAACAGTTAGGTAATTTACCACATCAGATGATATATGCTTTTATCCAGACGAATAAGCTTCTTAACCTGAAACAATATAAACGACTAAATGTATCAGTGTATCTCATATCCCTGCACATCTGTTGCTTTTGTGCAGACTTGAATAGAATCTGAGGTGTTGTTGTTGTTTTTTAAACAATTTAAATGGATTCTGGATTATTGTAATCCTTGGTTATCTAGTTAATTTCTCACACTGTTCATTATATTTTGCCCTATCTTAGTAAGTAATCCTCCAGATTTCAGGATTTCCTACTGTACGTTTGTAAACACGGGTTTAGCGTTGTATTTTGCGTATTTATAAGATTAGTTAACACTGAAACGGAAATGTCGCCACGTAAATTCGCTCTGGTTGTCTTCTGACATATAAAGTAAAATGATGGTGTTTATTATAACGACAATTAACGCGTTTGGCGTCGTTGTTCAATATTTTTAACATGGAGTAAACAGCGCGAGAAAGTTCATCGGATTATAAAACGTACATTAATATTTAATGAGGTCAGCGCTGATGCTGTTTATGATTGGCTGTAAGTTGTTAATTGTTTTCCAGGTTTAAATTTATACGGGTTTTAAAACAACATAAAAACAAAGTGAAATATGTAAACCTGCTGCTAAAACCTTTTACTCTAGAGACGACTCCTTTTGAGTTATATACAGTTATTGAACATTTTAAACTATTGAATGAGCATCATGGTGTGTGTGTGTGTGTGTGTGACTGTGTTTGTGTTTGTGTTTTGTAAATAAGTTATATTATGTTTAGTTAGCTGTCTATAATATTTGGATTTTTCTGCCTGCTTGGTTTTTGGTTGACTGTTTCTGAGGGTTTGTTCTGAAAGTTATAACAACTCATGTAAATAATTGGAGAAGAGATTAATATATGATGGTAAGGCAGCACATCAAACTTAAGTGTCTTTCTCTCTCATTTCATTCCAAGGCTGGAAGGGCCAAATAGCTAAATAAACAAAGCATTTGCTGATGGATCTGTATAAATTTGCATCAAGAATATGTTTAGGTCTATGACACACAAAAATTGCGTTATGTAAAGGCCAAAGGTCGCATTGTACAATGTACAAACAATCATTTTACAAGTACAACAATCTACTCAGCTGCCTAAAGCAGCACTAATGGTAGTCAATCACAATGACAAAGATAATTTCATTTAATTAATTTAGAACATTGAAGAACTGACAGATGTAAAACATTCACTCATCTGACTTAGGTTTGATAGAAAGCTCTTCTCCTGGACGTCTGGAGGCCATCTTTCCAGGCTCCGATTCAATGAGCAACATCTGGCACTATTCATCTCTTGCTGCGATTGCTTTGGTTCTGACACATGTCCACATGCTGACAGGAACACACTCTACGGTTTTAGTTTGTGTGACGGGCCTCTGGTCACAGCTTTTGTTGTCTAAACGGACGTCTTACCCGAGCTTTGATCATGGCACTGAAACATTCCAGCATGTTTACTGCTGAGAACAATGCAGTTTAAATATTCATGTCAGGTCAGTTTCACTTCCACTGTGGGCAATTCTGTGAGATGGATGGATGGAAAGATGATAAATAGATAGATAGATACCAAAATGCCGCTGCAAGATTAATCTTTAATGAACCGAAAAGAACGCATGTCACACCTCTGTTCATAAATACCTCACTGGTACAGCCAGCTGAAATGAAGCAGATAGGTGTGGCATTACTCAGAGATTTGAGCTCAGGGTGTGTGTGTGTGTGTGCAAAGCGGTATGTATCACCAGCTGTCTTTCAGTCACTCTCACTTGTTGGTAATGTTAAACAAGGGTAGGGTGTTGGGGGTGTTGCGCTTGCTCATATGCTTTACTCAGTTATATGGTTTCCTGAGGAAATGACAGGAGCAGAGGGGGGGATTTCAGCCACAATAATCCACTTTATGAGTCTTGGACTGATCAGATAGATGTCCTGCAGTGTAACTGCATCTATGCATTGCAATTACATTGCTTAAAGCACACTGAGAAGTGGTTTAAAACACATTGTGCATGTGAGTGAGCTGAAAACATCTGTTGCATAAGTCATCATTACTCAACCCTAATTGAATTTGCCAGTAACTTACTTATAATTGATGACAGAACAGTTAGAAATGCGTGAGGCTGCAATGCCAGCTCAAGATTAAAACTCTTAAATAGGCAGAAAAACACAAGACCATGCCAATAACTCAAAGTCTTGTTCTTATGCACACAAATCTATATAACAATGACATTTTATGGCATCATCACAAATAGGAACCAGGAAATTAGCTTTCTCAGATTTGTTTGCAACAAGGGAAAAAACATTACAGATCAGATTTTTATCTGACAGAGACACAAAACAGAGACAAATTTATGTGGTCAAATGTAAAGACAATCTGGATCTGGATATTATCCGGATATGAAAGTTATTATCCGGATATTAGTGGCTGAATGTCAGTGGGTCTTTTCCCAAAATAAAGCACATGAGAATCCTGTGGATTTTCAATTTAAAGTTGAAGAGTTCTTGTCCTTGAAGCAATTTATAAACTTATTTGTCTTTATCTCCATCTACTGGCTAAAGTACGTCAGTACAAGCAGTCAACAAAATAAGTTTATTTGAAATAGATTTTTTTTTAAAACATACAATAAACACAGCTGTTTCAGATAAATCTCTACTGCCCACAAAAAGATGCAACAGTCTTAAGGCAAAGCATTTATGAAGTGAATTCTTTATGAGAATACATACACATTCCATCTACAAATACATAATAGATAATAGATTACATCTATTATATCAACTACTGGGATGATTAAATGCATATTTTAAATCACAACCTACAGACTTAACCTGCAGCTCAGATGAGAGATTGTTTATTTACACAATGTTTTTACTGACAATGTTTTTAAAATATGCATAATCTGTCATAAGCATAAAGCAATTTGATTACAGACGGTAATCAGTACAATAGAAAACAAGAATGTTACATTAAATCTTTTTCTAACCATTTTTTCCCCAAATGACATTGAATTTTAATAAGGCTGACGTTGCTGTGGCAACTACATTAAGATTTTGCAGCTGTGACTTGTGTGTTGCAATGAAATGGAATGGTGCTCATTCTTTTCCTTCAATCAGCTGAACATTTCATGACATGGCCCTAAATGGGAGTTCATCAGTTCAATAAAATCTCTTATAAAATAAGCATAATATTCTGCCAATCCATTATTATGAAAATCATTAAGGCTCAAAAAGCAGCTTTATCTTTTTGGGGAATTATATTTAACAGGAATTGTGACAATTGGCAGAATTTAAAAGACACCTGTTTATTGCAATGCTAAAATAGTAATTACTACACTGTAAAAAATATATATATATATTTTTTTTTTTCAATTTGTAAATGATTATTGGATTAAGTTTTGAGAAAATATAATTTCAGCCTTTCTACTTCAAAATCTAATGTTTAATTCAATATGTTACTTGCCATTTTTGTCATTATTTGCAAAAATGACTTGCAATTTCTGAGTGAACATTGTTTCTACACCAATTGTATATCATACAGTGGACATAATGGTATTTTTTCCCCAGAATAATAATACCGGAAACGTGTCAAACAGTGATCTTTCCACAGGCTTCATACACATTTTTATGAAAATATAATAATGTATGGTCTTGATGTTGGTCCGGTGTATTTTGTGCCTATAAGCAGGTTCCCACACCTGCTTGAGATCTAGCAGCACATTACATACATTTAATATGAGCTATTTAAAGTGAATATGTGGTTAATAAAAAAAAATATTTTGAAATATTCTAATTTACTCAAAGTAAAAAATCTTTTTTTTTTTATTCCTTGACATCTAAATGACTACAGGGCAATATCCCACATCTTTCTAGACTATTAGGATCATAAGGAGGCAATAACACTAGCAACATTTGTCTAAAAAATGTGGCAAATAAAAGATAATAAAGCCCTTATATTAATGCAAATGAATTTGGTCATGCAGTTTAAAATGGACACAGTAGTAAGGCCATGTATGTGTGTTTTAGAGTGTAATAAAGGCATATAACATTTCCGAGTAATCAGTACGGGTCCAGTTTAATTCGCCTATGCAGGCAACAGGTGAACACCATTCCACAAATCTGAAAAACACACACAGAGATGACTTAAAATGTATCAAAGTAACATGAAAATGATGAAGACTGGTCTTTATATTGCATTTGACTAGACAAGAAGGCCATCAGCCACATTTTCATGTCTGGTGGACATATGTCCAGTCAAATACCCATAATATCTTGTACTGAATGAGATACTGGCAGGCATCAGGCAGCAGAACATTCCATAAAAAGAGCTCCAACAATGTCAGTCTTGAGATTTAGCATTTATTTTTTTCAATTGGTTCAAGACTTCACAGGACTAGTTCATGCAAAAACAAAATTTTCATAAAATTACCCTCAGGCCATCCAAGATGTAGATGAGTTTGTTTCTTCATCAGAACAGATTCGGAGAAATTTAGCATTACGTCACTTGCTCACCAATGGATCCTCTGCAGTGAATGGGTGCCGTCACAATGAGAGTCCAAACAGCTGATAAAAACATCATAATAATCCTTAATATCACAATAATCCACAGGACTCCAGTCAATCAATTAATTTTTTAGAGTGTTTTTGCTTATAAGCCGTGCTTGATCTGTGCATATTTCTCTCCTGATTGATCTGTGCATATTTCTCTCCTGATTCATAAAAGATGACTTTTTTTTCACTGAGAAAGCAATATTATGGATAGAGGACTCAACTTTTAATTGGAAGCAACAGTTTGAGGTTAAAAACAACTAAATGATTTATTTGTTTATTACAAACATGCAGCTTTTTACTTCACAAGATGTTAATTGATGGACTGGAGTCATGTGGATCACTTCGGATTTATCAGCTGTTTGGACTCTTATTCTGATGGCACCCATTCACTGCAGAAGATCCATTGGCGAGCAAAATTTCTCTAAAACTGTTCTGATGAAGAAACAAACTCATCTACATTTTGGATGGCCTGAGGGTCTGTACATTTGCAGCAATTTTTGGGTGAGCTATTCCTTTAAAAACACGGATATTTTAAAAGCCTTGTGGCAATTGTTGAAACTCTCTTCATAAAAGGCTTGCAGGAAGAGGGAAGCGGTGTACAGTTACTATGGAAACCGAGGTGTAAGGCAGCCGGTAGCAGCGTTGTTGTAATTGGGTCAATTAGCATGTGTGGGAGTGTGTGTATGTGCACGTGTTTATATGAAGGCTACAACATGTAGGCAGATTCAGACCAGTGGTAACTCTAATAATGAAGAGAGCATAAACATTCATTTACACATTTCCATATTTCAAAATGGCATTTCACTTTTAAATGTTGATGGTTCACAGCCACACTCTTCAAAGGCGAGTTCTTGTGGTACATTTTTGTTGTAAAATTTGTGGCAGCATAAAAAACACCCCGAGATATTCCTCTAGCTGTAATTGTGGGGGAAACAAAAAATATAAAAATATAAGATAATATATAAGAATCTTACCAAACCTCTACAAACTCTGTCTACAAATTACAAAACATGATCTAAAAATATAGTGTTTCAACATCTAGCCAGGATTTATTTTTCCTCTCTCTCTCTGAAAAAAGCTGAAGACAAATCGGAAGCCAGGTCCTAGGAGGGCTCTTGGTGGGCGATCATTTCTAGAAAAAAAGATGGAGCCTCATCCTACCCACAAACACAGAAATAAACCAGAGCTGGAAGTGCAACTAAACTCAAGTATTTCCTCGCCTTAATAATGCTTTACTATTATGGGAAAAACCATAAACTTTAAATTGGTTAATCTGTAGTTAACTGTAGGGTAAATGAGCATTTATGGCACATGCCAGTAAGGATCTCTGGTTTATGAGTGTTTTTAGAGGTTTCAAATGAACGTCAGAACGGGATCTGTAATATTTATGTCACTATGTGGTAGTTTATGGACTAAAAATGGGGAACATTCATATGTTAGTTCATAAAACTTGCTTATGGTACAGTGTAATTGAATGGCTTTAATTCACTTAATTCAGAATGTGAACAAAACCAAAATCTATACCAAAGTTAAGATTTAATTATATAGGTTTTTCACCTTTTCTAACCCATTTTTTAACCCATATGATATTCTTTCTTTTGAAGATATTTTACATAATGTCAGAGCAGCTCTTTTCAATACAAAGAAAATGAATATGAATATTTTATTTGCACTTGGGGTCAATAAATAAATAAGTAAGGACATTTACAAGAACCAGTGATATCTGATGCCAAGTGGGACAAACTTGGTGAAAATATGTCATGAAATGCCAATTTAGAGCGTTTAATAACACAAATATGCACAAGAGACATAAAAATACACCAAAAAGTATCAATTTCAGCAAATAATTAGTATAGTTATAGGTCGGTACATGAAGTCACTTATGCTCACCAAGACTGCATTTATTTAGTCAAAAATACAGTAAACAGTAATATTCCTAAATATTATGCTAATTTAAAATAGTTTATCTATTTTAATATGTTTTCAAATGTAATGCTATTTCTGTGATGCCAAAGCTGAATTTGCCATAAAAAATAAAAAAAAAAGATTGGGAAAAAAATCCTTACTGAGGAACTTATGAACAATAGTGTAAATTTGTCATAAAAATGATCTTTACACATAACTGTCATATGTCATTAGCAAATGTAGAATATAGTGCACCAAAAAACTATTTTATATGCTTTATGCCTCTTTTTTATTATTTTTGGAGCTTAAAAGCTCCCGTCCTCATTCATTTTCCTTGCATGGAAAAGAGTATCTTTTTTCATTTTCAGTTTTAAATAGCTTGTTCTTTTCACGCAACTCTCCTCCATGTCATAAAGCACTGAGTGAGAAGCAGTATGACTGCTGTCTGCCAGCACTTCTAATGCTACTCCAGAGGAAAATAAAGCCGGATGAGAGTGGGATTAACTGCATGGGAGAAAGGCTTGACAGACAACAAACCGAGAGATGGGACTTCAACACAATCAGCAGACCTACACAAACAGCTAGGGACAAACAGTCTTTTTTCTGAGCAGATATGTTGACACCTTTAAAAGCTCTCCTTTCTAGCAGTCTGGGTCCGGAGGGAGGGATACAATAGACAGGAAGAAAGAAGCCTGAAATAGATCGGACACACTGCGAGTCCCACAGCAGGTTGCAGGTAAAAGGTTATATCAGGTAAAAGGTTATGTCAGGTAAAAGGTTATGTCAGGTAAATGGTTATGTCAGGTAAAAGGTTATATCAGGTAAAAGTTTATATCAGGTAAAAGGTTATATCAGGTAAAAGGTTATGTCAGGTAAATGGTTATGTCAGGTAAATGGTTATGTCAGGTAAATGGTTATGTCAGGTAAATGGTTATGTCAGGTAAATGGTCGACACAGTCTACTTATTCTCAAAAATACTGACTTTTTACACTAACATCTTCAGTTATCTGCCTTATGCTGTTATGAAACAATTTTTTGTCTCAAAACACAAATGTTTAACATAATAAAATGGTATTTGGTGACATTACTTGTGAGTTTTTGTTCAATTTTGCCATGCAGCATTCAGCATGTGTGGAGTAAGAATGCTGGTTTCATGCCAAACACATACACATAAGTCATACAGAAAGCATGAGGTGGACATAAAGTGACAGGAACAAGGCACATGGACATGCACACACACACACACACACACACACAAGCACAAACTCAAACGGCCGACCTTCTCATCGCATAGCGCTTCAGGAGTCAAACATTGGCACTAGCCAATCAAACGTCAGAAAAGTCTTCTTCCTCTTCTTTATAAAGCAGATAAATAAAGCAGGCAGTCAGCACTGCTCCTACCAGCTACACAACACACACACACACACACACACACACACACCAGATAAGAAAGATACAACCAAAAAGAAAAAGACAGAGAGAGAGAGAAAGACAAACAAAACCAAGACAAAACAGAGACACGTGCTGTAATTTAAGACAAACATTGCAAATCCCTAAAATACAGTGTTTTCTTCAGACAATCTGAGAAAAAGATGTTCAGGGAAAGATAAAGTGTTGATGTATGTTATCACTTTTTTATAGCAGGGAAACAGAAAATCAGTTCATTTGAACAGTTCATGTAAATAAACAATTCACTCATTAATTTTAATGAGTGTTCTTTTCTGAAGTGAAATATGTTAAATGCTGCTTTATTGCTACGTCTTTAACTCTGTAACAAAATTCAGTGTGTTTTCTAGCTTTTTATTTGTTGCATTTTTTTGTCAATTGAACCTAATCTCCATAATTAAGATGCTTTTAGAAGAAAAATGTTCTAATTGCAGTATTAATTTATAAATTTATAGATATTGATTTATAATATCTGATATTAAGTTAAAGGGAGAACCAAACAGTTTCTGGTCCCCATTGCCTTCCATAGTACTATTTTTTTCCATACTGTAGGACCAGCAGCTGTTTGGTTACCCACATTTTTCAAAAAATCTTCTGTTCAGCAGAAGAAAGAAATTCATACAAGTTTGGAATAACTTGAGGGTGAGTAAATGATGACTGAATTATATTCTGGGTTAACTATCCCTTTAAATGATGAGTGGCTTGTAGCTTATCACGTTAGTTTTAAAGTAGTTTCTTCAAAGATACACTGCTGCGATTACACAGAAAAGATCAAATCAAACAATTTGTTACAGTATGTTATGCATGTGAACCGACGCTATAGACCCCTGTAGAGCAGCACTGTATTTACAGCCATAATGACGCTAATAATGAAAGATCACTGAAGAGGATCAATTTAATTAGCGCTCCCTCTAGAGAGCCGCTTCAAGCTACACTGTGGCTTTTTACAGTAAAATCATTACATTAAATTCAACACAGGATTTATTTTTAGTCATCTAATCAATCCAGAGCTTCACATTTCCTGGATGAAATAATCACATGACCAGCAGCGGAGACCTGCAAGGAACGCTGCTTATCATAAAGTTCTGACATACGGTTACAGTTTTAGGCATCTACTTAAAACCTGAGAAAAGGTTCAGTTGACAGTTACTTCAATTGACCTCAGGAAATTTCTTAAACCATTTTGATCTACTAAGTAAGACTAACATCCAGTATACTACATAGTATGTGGTACAAAGTATAGATTGCATCCTACATACCATACACTACACTGTGCATACTACACACTGCAAATTCAAAACTTTTTAGAAGAATACAGTGTTCTAATAAGTAGTTAAAAGCTAAAGGTGTGACTTTTAATCTAACATTTCTGAGTTTTTCTTGCAAATTCTGAGTTTATATTCCACAATTCTGACTACTTTATCGCAATTCTGAGAAAAAAAAGACTGAATTATGGGATAAAAACTTGCAATTTTGAGAAGAAAAGCCTTATTGTGAAATTATAATTTGCAGTTGTGAGATAGAAATTTGCAATTCTAATGGTTTGTTAAAAGCTAAAGGTGTGACTTTTTTTCCTCGCAATTCTGAGAAAAAAAAGTCTGCATTGGTAGGTATAAATTTAGAACTGTGAGATATACACTCACAATTTTGAGAGGGAAAAAAACATTATGAGTTTATAACCTGCAATATAAAATATAATATAAATCCCCTTTATATAAGAATATAAATATAATAAAAATATTTAAAAAATATTATTACAATATAAAATATTAATCCACAATTCTGAGAATAAAAGTTCAAATTGTGAGATATTTAATAAATAAATAAATAAGCTAATGGAAAAATGGAAATAATCTTCAATACCAAACAACATATAAAAACATTAAAACCACTACTATCCACTAAAAAGAGAAGGAGTGGGATGAACTTCTCAAAAGTATAATCTATGGTTATTACACATCCCTCCCAGCTAAGAGAATCAATATGAGGTCGGAGCTGGAGTCACCTTTCAGTGGTGTTTATATACAGAGTTTATTCAAGGGAAACAGATCAATGGCCCTCTGCACCCCTGCAGTGAATGCGGCACTCTCACTGTGAGATCTGCACTTAAAGCTAAGAGCTCTTTATCTCCCTTTCTTTCATTTTCTCAAACCTGCATGTGGTCTCCACCTATTTTTACCCAGCGGGTGTTCTGTGTGACTACCATGCGCATTACCGGTCGAGGGCAAAAACAGAGTCCATTAAACGATTGCCCGCAGGTCATTGCATCAGCTATTTTAGTGAAGGCTTTCATGTTATTGAACCACATCAGAAGACCTCAATGATCCATTGTTCCTACTGTTTCTCTGAGATACGCTTCACAGTAAAAAATATAGTATGCAGGTTATATAAATTTTGAGTTGGGCTCAAAGTAAAATGTACACATTATATATATATATATATACACACACTTTTTTTTTTTTGAACAAGATGATGGTGAGTAAATTTTTTGAGTGAACTATCCCTTTAATTGCACAGCACACCTGAGGAGGGCGGGGCTTACCTGTAGACAGGCCACGCCTATTCCCACAGCACCAATAATGAGCAAGTGATCTGCCAGAAACTGCTCCAGTTTAGTGATACAGCCGCCCTGTGAGAGACCACAGCACTGTTAACTCAGTTAACAGTTACAGTTTACTGTATGTAAACTGATTTATTTTGCAGACTGATGAAGAGTTACTGATTTTTTTATTGTGTGATTTACTAGACAGTATCGTGGATACTGCCACAACATACCACATATAGAGTCAAACTAATGGCCCACTAGAGGCCAGTAAAACCAGTGTCGTATTGTATTATGTATCACACCGGAGGTCAGTTCCCAAAGAATATATACAGAGAGCTTGGCAGGCGTTAACTGTAGTGTTACCTCACACTTTACAAGCCCATATATGTTACCAGTCACACCTGCTTTGCTCACAGCTGTGCTTTTTTAGTCTAAATGACTCCCAAGGGGCATATCAAACATGATGATATGGTTCACAGGCGTATTGTAGTTCCCACAGACAATGAGGAAGCATCTAAGCATGCATTTTGTAAAGCAAGTTAAGTACAGATGAATAAACACGTTGCG